CTCACTTCATTTTTGAAGTGAAGAAGGGCGGCCATTTTGAAAACCAAACCGTGGATCATTTTTCAGATCTGCAAATTATTACATTATATTTTTCATTTAAATGTAGATAAGATTGATAAAATGCAGTTAATTATTTATTTTCGGAATAAAATGCACGGAAATAGAGCGGAAAAAAAACTGGCGCCACACATAAATATTTACCTTATAATTCTACCAACTACCAACTAGTCTTGGAAGACGTACCCTCAAGAAGTCAAGTTTGCGATGCTACATAATCCGATCAACCAGGCTTCTTAAATTGACTTCAATATTTACGATCTATCTCTGTTATTTAATGCTCAATTTAAAAGATTAACCAAAGTGTTTCTCGTCGCTGGCTCAGACTCTCTTAAGCGTTGAACAGGCACTACTCATCCAGACGCTTTGACCTATCACAGTATCCTACTGTGATGGTAATAATGGCGAATTTTTTTTATATATGTTGTTTGCCTCCCATGTGATGCGTTGAAATGATTGTAACTGTGCAGAGAATTCGTAGGTTGATCACTGTTGATAGTCACTAAGATATTTGTGCACCTGCCTTTCAAGGGAGATGGAGGTTTAGAGACCAAAATAAAGCTCGACGTATGTGGAGTGTTTCGAAATAGAATTATGTAAAAATGATTCGAAAGCACATTTAAATTCTACAAGAAGTGCGAAACCTGGAGAAAAAATACGAGAAATCGTTTGTTCTAAGCACCGCCTCCCGTACTCAACTCGGATATTGATTCAACTTTGTTTATTTAAATCTAAAGCGTGAAGTTAAAATTCTGCTTGCCTTAACAAAATATTCCCCTAATTCGGTTAAAAGATATTTTTTTTAACACTTGATGTTAAATATTGTTTTTTCTACTGTTTTAAATCAAGGAAGCAAAATTCTGATAACGTGCAGGGAAACTAAACATGTGGGAGTAATTCCTTTATGCTCAGCTGAGATAACTGGAAATCAAAGCTGAAGAAAAGCCCTTGTCTCAAAACTAACCAAAACATACACCGCAGATTTATTTTTCGATTCATGTAATAGTAAATGTACTGGTGTAAGCCGGCGAAGAGTTGTAAAATCGTCTACAAAAGTGATGAATTGCGAATATTGCCCTCGGCTAAACATACAATCTGTTTCATTAGCGGGAATAAAACAACAGACGCAATATTTCAATCACATCGATCATTGCGCACGGCTTCGAAAGTCAAATTGTTTTGAGAAGTACAGGCGATAAATCTGCCCTTATCAGCAATATATACGCAGAAAAATTGCTACGTGAAGAAAACAATAATCGTTAATTATTTAACACTGGCGAATTTCAATTTCAACTGCAATTCAAATTGAATCCTCCGAGATTCGTGGACAAAAATTCTAATTTTGAACTCACCTTTTGGCGCGTTTGGAAACTTCGCTTCACATTTTCACTTGGAGTCAACGCAAAATAAAGGTTTCACTCTAGTTAGAGGTAGTCCGCGTATCAATGACTTCGTTCTGAACAACACAGTAATGTCACCAGCCCGAGTGAAATTTCCAATGAACACTGTTTTGAATAAAATTAAGAAATGGCCAATACCCATCGCGAAGTCATGGGGAATTTGAGTGAGCACAAAAAAATTGCAAGACGCCCTCAATTTCCAATTCGGTGAAGTGATTGTACCTTCAATGGTACTCTCACGATTTCCTAAGTGGATCCAGAACTCATTAAAAAAGACAAACAAGAATTTCTCAATGGACAAAAATTATTTTAAGATTGCTCGATAAAATTATTTGAAATATTTGTGAAAATCTTACCTCAATTAGCTTTTTGACGATTTCCTCTGTAATGCGATTTATTGTCAGCTAAGGAACATATTACTGCGGTGTTTTGACGATAAACTAGCAAATTTTTTTCTTCATGCGATAAACAATACTTTAACAGATTAAAAACAAAAAATACAATTTTACGAAACGCCTGCGCCATGAATGCCTTGCGAAGGATTTCCAGTTGTCTGAAAATTAAATGTGAATTATTTCAAAAAGACTTTTCAAAACAATAGCCTAATGCTATCATCGTAGCTTTTGTTTACACAGCAAGGGACTCCAAGGCCAAGCGAAAACAAAGGAAGTTTATGAATAGTTTTATCAGGTGTTTTTGTCGCAAAGGACAATTGAGGAGGAATAGTGTTTCACCTTATGTACATCGTCTTTTGTGAATCCTCCGCGCGAGAACTTAACTGTACATAGAGCCAAAAAAGAGACTTAATATACTGAAGAACACAAAAGAGAAAGCGAAGGTCGAATCATGTCAATTTTACTTGCTCTTTTGAGAGAAAAAAAAATACTTTGCGCCCTAGTTATCACGTTTTAAACCAGGAATTTCTGAAAAGAAAGAGAACTTTTCAGAGTCAGAGTGCCTGTTAGAGCAAATTGAAAAAATGTGAAGTATTTCCCTTAAAAATTAGTTAACTTGACTATTTCACGATTTATCTAAATAAATATTTCATGATGTTTTAAGTCCCCTCCATATTTTTTCCTTCCCACGTATTAGACTAAGAACGATCGCTGACTCTACTGTCTGTATATATAATTTACAGTTTCGCCACATTTGCCCTAATTCTGCCTTCTTTGCATACAAGTACAACATCCTGCAAACTATAAACATCATAAAGAATAGGTCAAGTCGTATAGCTAGTATAAACTTTGTGCTCTCTGAAGCTTCTAGGAACCGTCGAAAAGGGTCTGTTTGGTGTATTCAACTGAGGACATACCATTCGAACATATCAGGTTGACCACAGAAATCCATCCTGAATAATATTACCATCCATGAAATTTGTAATTCGACTAAATTAGTCGGTTTTCTAAATGACATTTTCCTTTCTTAGAGGAACTGTTAAGAAAAAGAGGCCTACTTTTTAACTAACTGGTCTAGCCCGTTATTACAGACTAATGGTAATGCCTTTAGGATATGTATAGGAACTTCAAGTTTGCTTTGACTGCTTTTATGGGCCATATATTACAGAGATGAGCCGCACTTGGGGACGTTGTTCTGAATTTATATAGGTTTCTAACAGCATGGAATAAAATCAGTTCCGACTAAAAATGAACTTAATTTACCCCTAAATATTCGAAGACTTCCTCTACAAACTTGTTGTCAAGATATTCTAAGCCGCATCACACACTACAGCTTATCCCTGGATTTAGAATTGATTGCTATCTGAAACAAAATCGTTAACCGCAAATCCTTAAAGACCACTGAGAAGGGCGGAAAGTTCCCATTAACAGGTGAGGTATACAGCAATTGCATGTTAATGATACATTTACGCGGTGTGCTTTACACCTACATAGCATCATAACACATCGCTAACGAAACTATAATGTCTTTATCACAAGTGGAATTGCACGAGGAAACTCAAATCTCTTGAAAGGAATTCTTCGGAAATAAAGTTCTTTATCCTCAAATTTTCTTTTATTTTAAGGTTCCTATAAAAACACTCGAGTTTCAATTAGTTCACACTTTGATTCAAGAAAGCTCCTTGCTGTGAAATAGAAGTTGTCATGTTTTGTTTTTTGTCATGTTTTCTTTCAACTTTAAGCTAAACTTTCTCATGATTTGCAATCTGTCAATCTGCTATTTTAAAAGGAGCCGTTAGTATGCATTACAGACTAATAAATAAAAAGTAATCACCGATATAGCGCTACACTGAAAACACTGCCGCTTTGTCAAAGTTACACTTCAATTTGAATCACAATCAAACGAGTCCCTGAGAGACCGAGGTACCAGACAAGTTGTCTTGTTAATCCCTGTGATAAATCTTTTAAATGTAGAATTGTTATTTTTGAAAAGCTTCTGAAGCCGAAAACAGCTAACCTAGTTATTAACTTCGTCATTTATGCACATAAATTTAGAAGAGGAACGAATTAGTATAAGAATCTTTGTCATTAACGACTCCATTTAGGAGTTTCGGTAAAAAAAAGATTTCATCTGGTTGCCTTTGTTACTCGGGGGCTTTTCTATGATTGTTGTTAGTCGTCAAGCGTAGACAAGAGCAGAACCAAGTATTTATGCCGTTCGATTTGCTATGATTTAGTAGCAAACAGTTCGTAAACCTCATTGCGAAGACAAGAGCGGAAAGAATTTTCTGATGTAAACATTGTTTGTCAGTTAAACCTTTCCTTTTTAGTTTGCTTCGATTGAGAATTAATAGTTAAGACAGTTCGACCGAACTAACAAGCTTAATAACTTTTAATGCACAGTACAAGTTTTGGGTTACTTATCATTGTAGTCTAATTGACAAAGATGTTAGGCCTGTCCAAAATGAGCCGGAATTCGTAAATATGTCGCTGGAAATAGTGCACCTTTTTTAGCAATAAACAACTTAATCAACATATATGACACCGCGTGATTCTAGACAGAGAAAATTAATACTATATTCTGAACTCGTACTGAATAGATGGAGGATTGATAACTTATCAACGGTATACTGCAAAGAAAAATGATCAGCGAAGGGAAATGTCCGCAGCAGTTTAAGCAATTAGCTTGAAAGATTCGAAACCTCAAAATAACAAATCTTTCCTCTAACACTAGTTTTCCCTACTTGGACTAACTACATGATCGATGGGAATTGGCATTCATGGGTGTCAACGCGTTTTTTCCTTAAGCGGCTGTCGATGATGTAAAAACCAGCTATGCCCTGAGAAGGGGCTGTAAGACAAACCAAACTGAAGAGCTCGGTTACAGGATAATCAGACATTAGTAAAAAGTTTTATAGGCGCATGGCAGTAGGCCGCCGGCAACCAGTAGTTATTGAAACCGCTGTTATTTATTTGTATCGTTTGACGCCATATGCTGAAATTGTTTATAAGTTGTGATAGTTGTGACAATCTTAAAGGAACACTTTGATTATGTCCTGTTAACTTTCTTTTGGCTGGTTTTCTTTCTCTGTTTTTAAAGTAACAGGACTGTAACGTTGTCATTCAACGTTACGTGAAACGTTCTTACCTGATAGTTTGACGACGGGGGAGGAATCGTTTTCTTCGCAATGGACTACTTGTGATCTGATTGTCCTGCTGCAGCCCTACAAATGTGAGAGGAGAGGAAATTGAAAATTGACATGTGAATGGGATGGGACTGGGTCGAGACCACGCACACCGAGCAACTTGTCTCGTCCCAGTCTCTCATCATCTCTGGATCCTCCTCTCAAACTCTCTCTTCTCGGTTCTTAGTACATTCATTTTTCATTTTAGCTCCGTTTGAGAGATTACCACTTGGTAAATATCATGATAAAGCATAAAATATAGTTAATAGAAGAGTCATTTACAAGAACCCAAAGTATCTTTGTATTTCTATTTAACGGCGAGTGCATCAGTCAAACCCGCTCAATTCGTCGTGGTCTATTTCATTACTACAAAAGCGAGTCATAAAAAAAAAATTTAGCTGCTTTGTCCGAAAAATTTTTCTACTCGAAAAGCGTGTCTTAGGCAATGTTCTTTACACTGTAATATGTAATAACGTGGGTGCAACAGCTTTTTTCCCCATACATCCAAAGATATTGTCACTATCTGTTGCCTCCAGGTAAGGGAAAATCAACTGCAGCTCCTGCACGCAAATCAAAGGTATTAAGTATTATTATTACTAGATCTCTTAGTTAGTACGTGCGCTCTCATGATTGGTCTATTTGGCAGGCTGTTTTTTCACTGACGGCTCGCTTACTCCAAAAGCATGGTTTGATCGCCAAAATGTCTCTTGAAGAAAAACTTGAAACATATTTAAAGGAAAAGTACGCAAACGATGAAAAAACAACAAAAAACTCAGAAGCAGATATCCCAGACTTTCGAGCTGGTTTCTTAGAGATTCTGGAGGAAGACAGGCGACGAATGGAGAAAGACAAGCTCGATGAAGACAACTCGAGTCGAGAACTAGATGATTTAATCGCCGCCGACAAATCGTCGAACACTGTGAAAAACACGAAATACAAGCAGGTCGATGGAAATTTTAATGGAATGAACATACCTTGTGCTCTTGACGAGCTCTTTGGCAAGTTCTTTAAAGATGTCCACGAGCAAAATGCGGTGAGTGCGAACCAGACAGTATTTCAAGTTTTTCCTAAAAAGCAAACTCGAGTTATCTTCGTCTTGCTCGTCATTCACTGTTTTCCGTTTGTCCTCCACTAAAAGCTCTTCAATGTAGGTTAGCTGCAAAACGATGCCTCATCCTTCTTTCTCTGCGTCAAGAAACTTCGGCTCAGTTTTCAACCGTGCCTTTAATCTTGTTCAATCTGCACTGAGTGATCTACCTGGAAGCTTCCATGGAAACGCCGCAAAACACCAAAAATTTGATACTAATCGTTGAAAGACCCCTGTTTTGTTTTCGATTGCATCGATAAAGTTCATTCATTCATTCATTTAACGTTGACCTTGAACAAAGTTAGCCGTCCTCACTGTCACGTACTTTCTACGAAGAAACACGCTGTGCCCTGCAAATTTCGGGTATTTAAAAAAAAACTCTCGACAAAAGCCAATTACCTGCAGAACGTTGTATCACAGTTCCTTACAGAAAACTTTATATACTTGAACTGTTCTTTCATGTAAGTTCGCATTATTTGAAACTATTTATATTAAACAAATATTTTGAGTTTTTGACGGATCAAAGACCACTTATGGCCCAAGTGATTCGCCCTTGGGCCATAAATCCGAATGGAAACAACGAGGTTCGTAACTTACAGTAAGGCCTTCGAACTCAGTTAGTAAGAGGTATATATGCAATCAACCGTTTCAGAAATATTGCCTGATTTTAAAAGCATAGCTCCACATACGTTTGATAAGACCCAAAACCGCCACCGACAAATGCTTCAGATACGCTCGAATTTATGCTTTTTACCCCTTATCTTCAAACAGCAACCGGCATCTGATTTTTCCATACATCATCACAATACTGAATTAAGCATTAAGGTTTGCGTGAGAATTCAGGAAATGACTACTTCTTAGAGCGATTTTGATTTTTAAATAATTCATGTTCTCCTTGTCTCCTCAAACTAAAATATTTCATTCAACATATGCATTTACGGCATGAACTTGCTTCATCTGCTTTTCCTGTGTCAAAATGTGGATATGGATAAATTAACTTTAAAACACAAGTCTGTAGCGCTAACGCACTTATCTTCGAGTGGAGAGACAGTAAAGTGAGACAAACAACAATGAGGCGTGGGCAGCCAGACGTCATACAAGACAAATATGGTAAGAACGTTCCAGGCGAAAAAAAAAAATAACGAACGAAAAATTTTCTGAGTGACGCCGACATCCGTCGTTTGTCTCAACCGCAAACTTAAACTTAATTAAAATATGGAGAGTAGTGATTTCAGTCTTAAACAGAGATGTATCGTCTGCTTTAGTCGTGTCATTTCACTTTCTGTAAGCAATTTATCAAAACAATAATTGGGATGTTAAGTCAGAATATCGATAATAATAATTCCACAGCTGAGAGAAAAACAAGTTTGGGTGCTATGTTGCTTTTAAACTCCGCAGGTGTCCACGACACAAAGGTAAGACACAATAAACGTGACTTCCAATCGTTTATTCTCTTCATCAAGATAATTAAATACTGTTTGTTTCATCGTTCCAGACCTGGAAAATATGTTAGAGAATGCAGTTTCGCCCAATGTTCCGTTTCGAAACTAGTCTCAAGGGTGTTGGTCCATTAAATGTTGAATGCATGTACTGTGGCTGAGAACTTGACAATTTTAAAAACATCAGATGTACAGTAATTTGGAATCACGCAGTGAAATGAAAAGTCTGTCGAGAAATGTCTGCCAAACCTCTTCAGGAACGGCAGATTTTAGGCCTGTTTATTTAAGGCTTATTGACCAGCGATATGGTTTAATAAGACTTATCAAATCGAGTAGTTTTCATCTTTTGTTGATCGTATCGGAACGTTTTGTTCCAGCTGGGAGACACAGCGAAAACCGTCGGGTAGTCTGCCTTGTTTTACGTCCAATTCGTGCTTTGCCGAGCTCTTGAACAGCAAGTTATTATTTCTACTGAGCCAGTAACTTATATTTATTACCCAGTGACTTAAAACAGATCGATCCCCTCCACAAATTTTCATTCTTCTAAGTAAATACCAATATTTTCAACCCATTCCTCAAGGATGCGAAATTTTACAAGCTGGAATGTTTCAATGCTTGCGTTCTAACTGCATAATTTGCAGATGTGGAAGAATTTGCGCTTCGCTGAATTTCGAAATCACGCTTGGGTCTGGACAAAGCTTTCATCTTACTATAAACAGCCATTTTACTGGTTGCGAAGACGGTGGAATTCGCTCAGTTAAAACGGTAAGACCAATGGATAGTGGTGCGTGCTCAATCCATACCGGGATCAAATTCCGCACTAACCTGTAAATCTGTTCTCCAGAGATACAACCGAGACTGCCTATCCAACACCTTTGGACACTTGATACTTCGCCTCTTCGTACTCTTTTAGTTGAATCCACCAAGAAAGGTTGTAAATGTGGACCGACGTTGTTGATTCGATGGCGTCTAAAGATTAACTTTCGTTCCGCTTAATTGGCGGCATTTAGATCACAGCAGGAATGGTATTATTTCCTGCGGCCAATGGTTGAGTGGTTAGCTCTCAACCAGCGCATGCTCAATTTTTTGGTGGGTCACGTTTTCTCTTTGGTTTTTCAAGCGGCTTAAAGAGACTTTCTTACTGCACAAATACAAGCGATTTGTACCATATTGGGCAGCTTAAATCTTACAGCATTTGTCGAGCCGAGTAGCTTGGCTGTGTGGTCCATTTTCATGCATGGTCGTTCTTGCGTGATACCCTAATCTGTCGCTAATGCTACCCCTCGGGGTGGATTCGTAACAGTTTCACTAACTCCTCGCCTGCTAAACGAAATGAACCAATCAAAATTCGTAGTCATATGTCTGTTTGCGAAGTGGTCCTTGTAGTTAATGGGTTTCACACTGATAGATTTTCCATGGATGATTAGACCATGACCTTGCCTTCACAAAATATGAATCAACTCATCATTAATAACGCCTGCAGCAAATCCATAGCTGAATAACACTCAATAACTCTAACAATATTTTGACAGAAGCTTTGTTAAAACTTCCGATCTGAGATAAAAATATCTTAAATTATTTACTTGTAACTTGGAAGGTTTCCTGATATATTCTCACTGCATCGACAATCCTGATAAGAATACCTTTGTTGAGTTTCATGTCAGAGAGGCACTTTCACCATTTTAGAATAAAGTACGTCTAAATTATCTAAATGCCCGAAAGATATTATATTAGAAATTTAATTATACATAGCAAGTTAACATTCCTAATTAGCTTTGTGGCATCATTATCTCGGCGATAAAGCCGCTGCATTTTACACATAACGTCCAGACAATCACAACTGTCAAAGTTTGGACAAAGTGCTTTTGGATGGCTTTTGTGGGTTATTATCTAAAAGTAAAAGGACATTTTTTTCCTTAAATGTTGGGCCACAGCTTTTAGCATATTCTAGCGCCTCTGGTAACATTAAGATAAGTTTAGCCGGATAAAAAAGATGCCTCAGGGAAGGCCATCTTCGTTTTCGGTGAGTGAATAACTTTTTTCCTATCCCGTTACGAAGCTGAAAAAGAACATAAAAAAATTGACGGATGTTTTGTTGCACAAAGTTCAGGTTATATTTTGCGAATGAGCAAATGAATATATATCTACCATCAGTGTAAGAAATATTTTTTCACAATCTTTCTGTTGTAAAGGCAGCTGGATTCTTACGACGCAAATTGAAACCAGCAAAATCCAATTGAATTGAATTCAAGAGGTGGGAACGACCAATTTAATTCAATTACATTCGTTAATTGCAGTGAAATATTTAAGAATAACGTGTGCGTCTGAATACCTAAACTACTTTAACAAAAAAGAGAATTTGCGACAGAGATTTAGAAACTTCATGAAAATCACTCAATTTTTTATTCAAGGCGCGAATGATATCTTTTTTCCACACGGAAAAAAATGACCAGACGCGGGAGCAAAAGCTAGCAAACTGGGTCTATCACGCGGATCTAATCACAAACATCTTAGGCTTTCCTGATGTTTTCCAATCTGTTCCTTTTAGGGAGGGGGGCGAATAGGGGTACGCCCATTCGTTGATTAGCACCGTGTCACCCAAACATTACTTTTTTTAAAATATGGATAACTTTTTAAAAAAAAAAAATTCCGTGATATAAACTTGCCACGTACTAATCTTTTCTCCTATGAAAGTTATATTTTATTCAAAGTTTTCCTGGCTTAACCGGCATTGAGAGAGTAGCCTAATTCATCGCAATTCAGAAAGGGTTTCATAAAGGGGGTAAGATTCCAAAGAATCTGTTGGGCTGCGTCGGTGGGAGGGTACAACAGAGTGAATGACGAGGGGCTTACGCACGAAATGTCAGCTTTGAAACTCTTTACGGTGGCTAATTTACGTTATGAACTCAGCTGATATTACTCAATTTTCCAGGGTTTTATAATTTTCTTTAAATGCCGAAGACTTAGAATGTTCACCATAGCTGTCAAGGCTGACATCGAGGACTGTTACTAAATCAATAGAGTCAGTTAATACCGAATGAGGAAAAAACTAAATTTGAGTACATGAATTACATAAGCTTCGAAAGGGAGCACTGGCCGATGAATCGTAATGAATATGGAAAATTATCATCTTGTAATAACTGCTGGCGTGTGTGATAGCATTTCCTTGAGGTCTTTCAATCGAAGGTAACCTGGGGTGTTTGAACTGACAAAAAGCTCGTTATAAATTCCAATATCTAGCTTTTATTTTTCCGAAAACTGACTACAAGTGAATCGAAAGTTTCGCGCGAAAAATTGTGAGAAACGGCAGCGGATCAATCAGTCAGTATCTGGGTAACTGCCCACCTACCCCTCCCCCCTAACCCAACATTAACCTTGACTTGTTTTCAGTTGACTGTTGTTCAGTTAGGGGAGGGGTAGGTGGGCAGTTGCCCAGATACTGATCGTGATCCGAGGCAGCAATAGCTCATTGTATGTCAGCGGTTACCAGTAGAATTTTGTGCTCGCCGCGGCCGTTTGTCAAGCATAGTGGGAAATCAATCTTGAAGACACTTAAAATACGAAAAAAAAAAAATTCATCAGCTCCCAAATGTTACCTCTCGTTATTTATCGAAATTTACCGAAGTGCAAAGTCATCAACAATCGCAAATCATGCAGTCAGAACACAAGCATTGAAATATTCCAGCTTGTAAAACTCCGCATTCTAGAGGAAAAGCTAGATCACTGGGTAACAACGTACGTTATTAAACCAAAATCAAATAGAAATGCCGCAAAAGCGATGGCTTGAAAAACAGAAATCTAGTTGTTTTACCAAAACAGAAGCGACGCAAACGGATCATTCGGTGAAAGTTAAAAATTTCCAACCGCCTGAGGTCTACCAAGACTCCTTGTCGAGTTTATAAGACATTGTTCCGTTCATTCAAAACATGCCTGACCTAATGACAGGGTTGCCCATCTGTTTCTGTTGACGACGAATTGTTAGCATCTGAAAAAATAATTACCAATCAAATTCTCGATCGCAACTTTCACAACCGGGACTACAAGGAGACTGAAAGTTCTGGGTACAAAGCTTTGTTAACCAGCTCCTATTTCTTGGTGCCCGCTTCTATGTCTCAAACTTGCGAAAAATACTGTAGCAGTAAAGGATTAGGAATGACGAAAAAACTGAAGTCAATATGTTGTTAAGGCTTTTGACTTTGTCTGGCCATAAATGCCACGTAAAATCCACTAGTGCCTCAGGTTTGCGGTTTTTTGGTATCGAAAAAGTATAGCCATGCACAATAGAAAGACATGCAGTCACTTACCGTAAAATTCCAGAATTAATGAGAATTTTTCCTTTAAATTTCTTCGCCCTGCGTGAACCTTAAGAACAACATCCCATTTATGAAACTCATTCGCGCAGCTTTTTATGTCATTTCCTTCGCTCACCACCACACAGCAAACGTTTACGAATGTATACAACGCTTCTCCGATGATAACCTTGAAGTTTTATAAATTGAACTGACTACTTGTCGGTTAGTTTGTGCCTGTCGTAACTCAGGGCAAGAAAAGATAGTTAAACGCAAGGTGTCCCGGCTGAGATAACTTCCTTCGCATGGTCAGGTTCCACAAAACAAACCCGTTCACACTGTGTACAGCTTGACAATGAGCTGAAACTCAAACACAGTTCGCAAGATCTTTTGAATGTAGTTAACCTCGTATCCTTGAACGTTTCTAGGATCTTAAATTTACTGTATTTCGCTGAAATATCTAGGTTTCACTTTGTAAACTCTCCGGTCGTAAAGCGATGCAAATGTCATGTGATTATTTTGCCGTTTCGGAAATATCGGTGACTTCCGGTCGTTTTTTATTTAGAAAAGTTTGTGTGTGAGAACAAATTTAGTAAGCTCGCACCAAAATATCGAAAAGAGGAGAGTTTCATGGAGAAAATTTTATACCATTTGCACTTGTTGAATTTCTGTTTAGTTGTGGATATCAGTGGAATAATTGTTTAAAAGACGAAAAACAAAGTGCAAACGATTGCGTGCTTGCTTAAAATTTTAATAAAATTAGACAAGTGCCAGCGAAGGTAAAAACTATAGCTCATCCCAGATGGATTCTTCTCCCGAAACCTGCAGTTTTGTAATTCTTACCTGGAGGAAAGATCCGGAAACAACCCTCCCTTACTTTCCTCAGAACAACTTACCGCGGGAAGATGGCCGCCGCGCATTAGGAAATTTACAATTCTGATTTAACGACCCAAGATGAAGTTGTCAGTTGTGTTATCAGTTACCTCTACTTGAATTTTTTGTGTAAAGCTGCCCCTGGAATTGTATCGTTGAAGAAATACAGCCGAATGGAGCACAAAGAGGGACAAAAAATCAAGTATTTTGTCTCTACTAGCTGCGTGACTATGTCTAAAGGCCATCTTAACTTCATTTTCACGTAAATTTGAAGTCGACGGGCCAGCCAGAGTGGTTCATCTCAGGGAATCAAAATAAAGAAAATTCAAAGCACAGCAACGTAGGACAAAAACAATTCATCCAATTTGTTCTCTATTTTATGCCCTAGCCATTGCGTTACGCTAAGCTGGTTAGGATGTAAATTTTGTACGTAGTTATCCGCTGACCAGATATGTCATCAGAACATTTAGTTTCTAATGAGTTGTTGTATCGAGACTCGTACACTGTAACTGTGACCACGAAAATGTGTTGGGGAAACTTATCTTCGTACAAGCAGGATAGTATCTGGTCGTGGTTTATTTGTTTCTGTACGACGATATGCATGATCCTTTCAGTTGGATTCACGTTCGCTCTTGGCGTTCTCTTTCCAGTTTTGATGAATTATTTTGACGAAAACCGTGAGAAAACGGGTGAGTGTGTTCTGTATTGCATCGGTTTAGCATGGAATTTTGATGTTACCGAAGATATCCTGCCTTGAAAGTTTATTTCAGTCGATAGCGCTTGTTTTACTCGTGTGGAAGGAAATAATGATGCAATACATAGTTACACCTGTAACTAACGGCGTAATTTCTTTCAGTCGGTAGTGTGTATATGTAAGATTTTACGCCAGTAACTAACAGCGTAATTTCTTCCAGTCGGCATATTATAAACTGTTACTCACATATTACGCCGTTATCAAACAACCGGAATTATATATAACGAGTTGTTGATTTCTGTTCAGCTGAGGCAGGATGTGTAAAGACGAGAATTGACTACTAGGGGGAAATTATACTGCGTTTTGTGGCTCAAATATTAAAAAGCGTTAAAGAGCGATCTAGTCTCACGGGAGAAGGCCTTGAATACCTTATTCACGATCTCGCTTATTGCGACGCAAAACGTGAGTCAGCTTTAGAGAGATGTCTCTTTAGAAGTTTAATATCATCGTTCTGAAGTCCATTGTATGAAAAACAGAACAACGAAAACTCGACTGAAATCATGCAGTAAAAACAATTCTAAATGTTTTGAACTGTGCTTTCCCTTTGTTTACTATGTCACGAACTTTTAATGAGCTGAAAGCTGTCATACCCGTCACGCAACGATTCTCACCTCTCGTCACTATTCCTAACACATTGACACAGACTGCCAGCCATTGTTAGTTTGGCTAATAACTCATAGGCTGAGTTAATGCAGATGGCAGGCCTTACGCAAGACCTAGACCAGAAATTCAGAACCAGCCAACGGAATAGGCTAACATTCTGTAGCTAAGTGCGAAACATTTCTAGTGACCTCCATGTGAGGTGCACGAGATTAACACTATCCTTTTCATACCCAAACCTTTGCACTTACTCTTGTTCTACTACAGAAACATTGAATATCTTGGAAATGGTTTCTTTTCATCCCAATATTTAGGAATCAAGTTTTCGATATGAAAGTGTCTTTAAACAACCGCTTTAATGCGTAAATCCCATATGTTCTAGAGTAATTAATTCTTTGGTCTTAAATTTGGAAAATCAAAACCCCATTACGACAAGTAATAATTTAACGGCCTGTATAACTTCTGTCTTTTCCGCAGCATGGGTTTCGTCTATAATTATAGGCGTATTTTGCTTTCTTGGTCCTGTTTCGAGTGCAATCCTAAACAGATTTGGTGTTCGTGTCACAACCATTTTGGGTTGTTTGTCGTGTGCCGTTGGCCTTGCATTGGGTTCATTTGCTCCAAACATCATCACCCTCTACGTTGCCTTCAGTTTGCCATTTTCTATTGGGGTATCGGCTATTTACGTGGTTTCGCCAATTATTGTGTTTCAATACTTCACCAAGAAACGGTCCTTTGCTCTTGGAATTGTGACCGCTGGGCAAGGAATTGGAACGATGATTCTTGGACCAGCTCTTCAAGCGTTAGTTGATTTGTTTGGTTGGAAGAACTCTTTCCGTTTTTTCGCTGGTGTTTTAGGTATTGCATCAGTTACTGGAGTCATCCTTCATAGAAAAATTACATCTGTGAGGACTGATGAAAAACAGGAAGCTCGTAGAAAGAAACGTCCGCAAAACCTTTCGTTGCTAAGGGATCCTATCATCTGCATGATAGTGCTGAGAAATGGACTTGCCACATTTGCTCGTCTGGTGCCATACGTACACATAGTAAGTGTCTAATCTCTAGGCCCACATTACAGTTTGTGATTTAGTGTACCAAGCCAATCCTGCAATCGGCAAACTCTGAATCCCCACGGTATCGACGAACGCTTTTCATCCAACTTATTTATTCTTGTGTTTTTCTCGTTACCACGCTCCTAACAAAAGCGTAGCTCCATCTCTCTGTATATAAATCACATAAAAATCTTAATTTTTTTATTCGCACTGACGATGGGCTAACACTCAGAAAGCTTATAAACTCCCTATGGTGGCTACTTCCCGATGTCAGCTCAGTTTATAAAAAAAGTAAAAAAGGCTAAGAGACCAGCATCTTAAGAGTCACACTAGTATGATCAAGCGACTCACTTTGGTGGCGTACGCTCAAACCTCACAATGTCCAATTCTTTTTTCAGATAAAGTATTGTGATGATCTCGGTATTCCAGCTAACAAAAGCTCCTTTCTGTATCTATTTATGGGTATTTTCGCCACCATCGGACGTCTTGGGGCAGGATTTTTATGCAATTTGAGATTCATAAAAGCCCGATGTCTCCAACAAGTTGGGACATTTATTGTCGGGGTGTCTACAATGCTACTTACCTTGACAACTACTTATGCTGGACTGATTGCTTTCGTCATTATATTCAGTGTCGCAGATGGTATTTTGATAACAGCTCTCATAATCGAATGTATGGAATCCGTTGAAGATTCGTTAAGGGCATCTGCGTTTGGGCTTGTATTAATGGTTGCGGGTGGATTTGCTTTAGGTAGCCCACCCTTATCAGGTATGGAATGATACTTATTGTCCATAGATTAGGCGCTTTCGTGTGAAAACCTCTCCCCACTCCCCTCCCCCTTCTCCCCCCTCCCCTATCCCCTGTCT